GCCCACTTGCCAACACTGTGTCTGTTATGGCTTCATGTATTTATTCTCACTAATATCTTACTCTGTCCATTTTTATACTCTGGTCTCTGGGGAAACTTAAGTTTTTTATAGGATCTGAGCTGAACAACATTTGAATGAACCCCTGGACTAAATGCAAGTGCTCCAAAGGCAGCTGATGCTCCTAAACTCTCCTTCCAAAAGCTGTAGTGGCTTTTTTTTTTTTTTTTTTTGTAATTTCAGTGCTATGGATTATAACCCTTAGTTATAAAATGTCCTTCATGTTTTCCCCCCAAAACACATACTTTCACATAAAGTGACCTTCCCAATGGTATGCCTCCATACTGAGATGGGTGTATACCTTTAAAATTAATCACAGTTATTATTGTGTATGGTAACTAATGCCAACCAGAGTTTCCCAAAGTGTGGGACATGGGTAGATGAAGTAATTTTAGACATCAAACAACAGTGATACACTTAGCAAAAAAAAAAAAAGCTATTCTCTTTTCAATATTATTTTAACATTCCCAATTATATTAAGCAGAAAAATATCATACTGATATTAACATGTCCACCCCTTACCAATCTTCCTTTTTAAATAAACTGAGAGAAGGCTTTGGGCTTAGATCCTTCATAGGTGACCTAACTAGAAAACCATGGTTTTGTTTTCATTGTATTAGATTTTTAGGTCTTCTTTTATGTCAACTGGAATTATTTTCTACTATGCCAAGTGACAATATTTCCTTTTATAATAAATACATTTAAGTGTTCAAAAAGTAAGAAAAAAAAAGCATTAGTATTTGTAGAGCTAGTAAAATGTGTGATTAAGGTTCAGGAAACACAAACCAATGCACATGAATGACCATATAACATTCTGGCGGTGACTGTGATACAGGTTGCAAGTCATGTGTACTGGAGGTAAGTTATCTCTTTAGCACTATGGCACAATGCTTGCACTTTGGATTGCTGCTAGATACTCCTTTGATTTTCAGGTTGTGGGGACCAGAGGAAATTCATGGGAATATCAATCTCAAATAACTATCCTAGGGTTAGGTTCTTGAAATGAAGCCAGATGTGGCCGAGAAAACAGGGTCGACTTTCATATTAGAGAAAGGAACAACTGGGTCTGGGAAGTGAAGTTGAATTTGTAAGCCTGAGGCAAGGCAAAAAGTTAAATGCTATAGTCCAAAAATCAGGATTGGCCTAAAAGTGAAATCTGAAGCAATTTAGGGTGATTCATTATGGGTTCTAAACATCAGACTGGGTGGGACTGAGTATCTTCAGATGCTAATAGATTGTAAACTTTCTTCAGATTCCTAAAAACAATATAGGAAAGAAATTATACAATGGAAGAGAGCTTAGCCTAGGTATAGATTGCAGGAGATAAGACCCAAATGCCTTGTTGACTATTTTGTTCTCAAATTTCTAAATGTACATTTGAATCTCAGATTTGAAATAGGGATGAAGAAACCTAAAATATCTAATGTAAAAGTACTTAGAACATCTTATGTTCACTTTTATACCAAGATACATTTCCAATTGTATAATAAACGTTAACGGGGGGAAAAACTCACTGAATAGAAAGTTGGTTTATAGAAAATTTTAGTATGCTACATCATATTAGTTATACCTTTACTATTTTATAAAGAATATAAAGACTGGCAAAGGAGTGAGCTATCGATTTAAACAAAGAAATAGCTTAGATCCCAAGAGTTTTTAAATATCTTCTTTATAATGGAGGCTATGAATAACAAAGTATTTTACTAAATGGCAATTTACCAATCTTTTACTGAACAAAAGACTAATTCTGAGATTTTTATTTTCCCTCGGATTGATTTAAAATTTTTTCTCTTCTTGTCCTATGCTCACATGTTACAGTATGATAAAATATATCTCCAGATTCACTTTTAGTAATCAATCTCTACATGACTGGTGTTAGGCCATACATACACACACAAAGTCATTATGCCTAAGCTATTACATTCTCTTGTTTTCGTAAATAATAAACTTGACTGTAAATTAGTATTACATTATGCTATACTCTTAGGTAATAGTAGATGGGAAAGAAAGAGCACAGGAAAACAAAAGGTATGTGTGAGCAGTTAAAAAAATTATGATTCATTAAAAATCCTTCAGATTGTAATTCCCAAGTAAATCAGTGGTTAGTAAGGAGTATCTGCAGTGTAATTAAAATTTTAAAAAGATATGTAAAGATCATTTTCAGATGACCTCCTGCTTTGTAAAGATCCCAACTTGATTTGCTGTGGCAATGAAAGCAATTAGCAAGTTAACACATAACTTAATTTGCATTTCTGTTTTAAGGTTTAATTTGCCTTAAAAGAGTTGGAAAGTATCCTCACACACCAAACTTAGAGGCTATTAGCGGATTAAAATATTTGCATTTCTCAATTTCTTCTCCTTTGACAAATTAAGTTGACTCAGCTATTAAGATAGTATGAAGTGACTGGCTTTGTTGTTTCAAAAATAGTTTTGCCTGTTCTGAAATTGGCTATAAGTCTTCAGTACGATTGATTCACTAATTTTTTATATTCTGCAAAACAGGTAGCAGTTTAAGTGTTATTTCAATGAGATTAACATTTAACTTGCCCACCCTGTTAGAATTCGGGAAGGAAAGCTATACACCCTGAAATTTGCATACATGGCCCAGGTGGGTTTTGTTTTTTGACTAGTACCCTTTGGGACCTGGTACTTAACTACCTAATAAACTATGGTTTTATTTTTTTTTTTTAAAGATTTATTTTTATTTATTTATTTACACAAGCACTGGGTATAGTCAGAAGCGCGGGAGGGTGAGAGAATTCACCAGAGTCAGAGCGGGGAGCAGAGCAGGCAGAAGGACCGAAGTACACTGCTGAGGGGAGCAGCGGGCGGCAGGAGAGGTCTGCGCGCCATGTGGGGCCCTCCTCCGGTGGCCGGGGAGCGCAGCCGGGGATCGAACCTGCACTGCAGAGGCTGCGGGCAGCTTCACAACCCAGCGCTCAACCGCTGCGCCACCTGGGAGGCCCTAAACTATGGTTTTATTTATCAGTTTTACATCTTGAAGTGCTTGAGTTAGAAATAGTGTACTTCTCACCAAATTTGCCCAAAAGAAAACTAGAGATAACCTATCCATATTCCAAAGCACTTCTTAAAACTACGGAACAGACTATCACATTCTTGGCTAAGTGCATAAGCTGTCAATTCTCCTACGTAGACAGCATAGGCAAATGCCTGACAAGGCATTTCACAAACTCCTTTTATTCTTAGAGTATATACTCTTTTTGGGGATTTTAAAAATGGATAGGAATTTTCTATTATAGTGTTAACAGAACTCTTCAGCCTCTGACACTATCTTTATTCAAAAGTCTGTTTTACGCACATTACACTTACTTTCTATTTCTACAATATCTTCAAGGAAATATTTACCCTAAGGATTGTTCCATTACTATCTTAGTAGTAACAGTTGAGAAAATTGTCTTATAGGTAGGTGGTTCACTAATCAGATTTTAGTTAATTATTTTATTTCTCAATATGATGGGCAGTAATGTGTTTGGAAAAGGTATCATGCTGAGAATAAGAAATAATTAGTTATTGAGGACTGTATCCCTGGCACCAAGAACAACGCTTGATGCAGTATAGGTGCCTAATATTTGGAGAATGAATGCTAATCCCACTGCTGTGTAAACACTAAGGAAATAAATTAGATTTGGGGGATTCCTAAAGTTCTATTCAAAGGAAAGACGTCATGGCTCTTCTTATTTAGCTTCTAAATGCTCTGAAAGTTGAGGATGAAAACAGAAAACTACCAGTTGGTGGAGCTTGCAAATTGGGGACTCAAAAGACATTGCTATAAATCCTTTCAGGTGTCATACAAGACAAAGTTAAAAGGTCTATGATCATAATAAATTAATTTTTGATCACGTGACCTCAAAAGGTGGTTTAAATGTTATGATCGTCATTGCATCGCCAGCGCCTACAATGACGACTCGCTCGTTCTAAGTATTCAACAAACATTGGTTGAATTAATTACGTAATATTCACATTACTTCTAATTCCCTCCCCCCCTTCACTCTAGAAGCAGCTGGGTCTTTACCCATCCTTAGAAAGCGATGGAGCGGGAACTAGAAATCCCTTAAAAGGTCAGGACCAGTAACAAGGCTGGGGCTAAGCTCAGACAGCCTGGACGCACTGAAGGGGAAGAGCACCCAAAATATGCAGGAGAGAACGAGAAAACAAAAAAGGCAATAAAAACAAGCACAAGAGGAAGACGTTTTCACCGTGGAGGTCGGCTGGCAGCCACCGCAATTACCTGAGGTCAACCCTAGTCGCCGGCGGTCACCTCCGGCTGAGACCTGGGGTAACCACCCCTAAAACCCTGTTACACAGACCCCACTTTTAAAAGCTTCTTCTCGATCCTGAGCGGCCCAAACTCATCGGAATTGGAATTCCTCAGAATAAATCACGCGCGCCTATAATTCTCAACTTATTTCCCATTCCATGCCACACAACGCAGCCGAGACCACAACCCTCAGCCCCGAGGCAGCGCCTCCGGCGGGCTGAGACAGCCCTGAAGACACTGTTACAGGGCAGGGAGAGGGGCACCCCAGACCCCCCCAAACCTGCCTGCTCTAAATGGGCTGAGGACCCACAGTCAGGCAACCCGTTTTGTATGGGGGCTGCCCTGCAACAGCACGTCGGCCCCGCACAGCCGGGCAGCCCTCCGGGCGGCCTTGGGCACCGCGGGAGCCCTCAGCCGGGCAGGACGACCTTCCCTCCCAGTCCCCGCCTTCGCAGGTTGGCCCCAGCCCCCGCGGGCCGAACCACACCCGCTTCCCTCCGGTGGCTCGGGCGCCCGCCGCAGCCCGAGCGCTCTTCCTGGGGCGGGCGCAGGCCCAGGGCGCGTGCGCAGTCGACGCAGGGCGCCTCCCTGGCCGAGTCTCGCGAAGTTACGTTCCACGGGCTCTGCTGACGGACGGGCGGCCGCGCCGGGGGCGGGAGGGCTTCCGCGCGAGGCAGGGAGGGCCGCTCCTGCGGGCGCGCCGCCCCAGTGCTCTGTGGGATACTGGAAGTCTCCAGCGTCGGCTCCCGGCTCCCAGCCCTCCTCCGGCTCGCACTCATAGGAAGAGCCACACACCCCCTGCCTCCCCTCTCTTCCCTCTCCGCCTCCCCCTTCCCCCCCTCGCGATAAGAAGACCCGGCGGCAGGAGAGGGGATGAAGATGGCGGACGCGAAGCAGAAGCGGAACGAGCAGCTGAAGCGCTGGATCGGCTCGGAGACGGACCTCGAGCCTCCCGTGGTGAAGCGCCAGAAGACCAAGGTGAAGTTCGACGATGGCGCCGTCTTCCTGGCTGCCTGCTCCAGCGGCGACACCGACGAGGTCCTCCAGCTGCTGCACCGCGGCGCCGACATCAATTACGCCAATGTGGACGGACTCACTGCCCTGCACCAGGTCTGAGCGCCCCGCCGCCGGCTCTGCTCACCCCGCGGGTTGTCGTCGGCCTCCCGCCAGGGCCTTCCCTCGCCTCTCGGCCTCCTGAAGTTGGGGGCGGTGGGAGACTCCCTGCTGCGGGGTGAGGGGGCGGCTTCCGCGGGGGGGGGGTGAGGGTGAACTAGTGGTGGAGGGGGGCGCTGGGCCTCAGGCCCCCCCAGTCCCGTTGGTGGTGGAGTTGGGAGTCGGGCGGTTTCCGGGGCAGAGGAGGAGAGGGACCGGGCCAGCTTGTGGATTAGGGCCATTTGTGGAAGTGTGTCTTGGGTTTGCGGGTCGAGGAGGGGAGGCGTGTAGTGTCTGGGCCCCGATGTCAGTGATATGCTTGGGGACAGGGGATGCTGGAAAAACGACTAGCAGGGGGCACTGGGGACTCTTGGGCAGATGGACTGCTTAGCTTGTAGGTGGACATTGGAATTGTTGTACTTTTTAGGACTCTTTACAAATGATGATAATAATAGTAATCAAGAGTCCTAAGCTGAGTGCCCTGAGCGAACGATTTCCTGTTTTCTCTTTTATTGCTGTTGGTCACTGGGGGTGGGGTGAGGGGGGGAGAGTTTGTGGTTCTGAACGGGGTGTTAATTAGCAGATCCGCGCTGACTGAAAGGGAGGGGATGGAAGTAGGGTACGAAGCTTTCAAAAGGGCCGCGGGACAGGAAACGTACTTGGTACTGAAGTCGCACACTCGAGTTCGCCGTAGTGTCAGAAATCCTGGAGCGCCAGGTCCTGGGGTGTGCAATGGGGTTAGAAAGAAAGAGAAGAATAAACACCAGGTGTTCTTTTTAAAAGTCGGTCATCAAGCTCTAGTTTTTGTTTTGGGAGGTAGGAAAGCAGAAAGCTGGTCACAAACTTTTCTCAAAATGGATTCTTTGTGCATGTTAAAGTTTTATAGTAGCCTGATTGGGATCTCTCGATGTTAGCCAAATAAGGAGAAACTATTGGCAATCCAGAGATAATGTTGCTTTGCCTTTAACAGGCCCAAAGCAACACAACCACGTAGAGTTCTGCAAAAAAAGCAGGTTTTTAGTGATGATGATAGGTGACAAGATGTTAGACTCGGTCCATTTTTTTTTTAGTGGGCAACTTGGAATTACTGGAAAACAACTTAACAGCAATAGCTTCCCCTTTCCAAGGAAGACTTGTGAACGATTTCAGAGTTGCTTTGGTTGTTCTGTGCAAGATTTTAGCTTTACTTTGATTAATACCGTAACGAAAACTAGTTTGTGAGGCCGAAACTTAAGGCTTAATGTTTCATGCATATTACTTGAGTGCCTTTTAAAAGAGGTGTGTATGGCATTTTTCCTTTTACTGCTTCCTGCTTAGTGAATGATGACAGTTTTAAGATTTATTTAATTAAATTCATATATCAAACGTGACTGTTAGCCTTTGTGTACAAAGTTGACTGGATGAATTGAAATCACTGACAAATTGCAGGATATATCTGGAATTCAGAATATGACACCTAGGAAAATGTAGCATGGTACTTAGCTCTTTCTCTCTTCCATCAGGTTAGAGTCTAAAGCAAACTTTATTTGGTTGAGGTTTATTTTAAGACATAGCATAAGTAGATTCTAAAAACCATCGTGTTGAGAAAGAAATTTTCGGCATTAAAAATGAAAATATAGTTAGGTAAGATGAAGAATCTTCACATTTCTTTCAAGTGTAATTTACACAGCTTAATAATGAATTGATTCTATAAAATGCAGTTAGTGTGTGCTTGAGGTCATAATACAGTTGGATAATGATCTCCATCAATTTTGTTAAAATAGTTAAGTAGAAACAAAGTTATACTGTTATGGAAGAACCAAATTGTACTGACTTGGAGGAAGAGGGAAATTTCTAATACTTTTATTAATGTAATATTATCTTAGGTACAAAGAGAAAAGGCACACATAACAGGCTTCTTAAAGTATTTTTCCCTCTCAATTTGGATGTTGCAAGAATTATCATACTTATTGTCTTCTTGATTAATTGATTTCAGTGCTAGGTGTATTTTATGGGTATAATGTTTAATGGGTATTTTGTTTTAGCTGACAAGTCCCCAAGCAGAAGTTTCCGAGCTTATGCCTAATCATTTGTATAATGTCTTTTTATTATTCATCTGCACATTCCTTAAGTCAATGAAGTAAAAGTCTTTAAAATATCAAGCATTAAATTTTTTATAATCCCCCCGCCCCCCCCCCCCCATTCTCATTTCTCTTTTCAATTCTTGTATTTTTTGCCATTATGAGTGAGCACAAGGAGTTCGCTTTAGGCAAATTCAGGACAACAGATAGTGAGAGATGATAAAACTTTTTTAGAAGTATCACAAGAAAAGTTTAAGTGTTTAAGAAATCTGCTGAGTGCTGTTTTTAAATGCCTAAATTATAAAACTTAAAATGATCCACTGATCAGTTTAATGGCTCTTGAATAATTTTTTCTAACCTTTTAAAATGTTCTTACCAGATTAATTATTGGTTAATCATTTGGATTTTATTCATTTACATTCCATTTTTCACTATTGGGAGAAAAGTTTTAAGAATTTAACAATCCACAAATACACTTCTTAATCTAATATTTTACTTCCATTTTTAGCATAAGCTTATCTTTAAAAGTTTCTTTATTGGTAGAATATGTTCTTTTGAAGTTATACAAGAGAACCATTTCCAGCAATTCTTTTTGTATAGAAGTATGTGGTCCCTATAGGAAGAAAGGCAGTATTTTTCATCAAATTTACTATTTTAATCTCTAGATTAGTGTCTCTTGCTCCTCCCGCCCCCATTGCTGAAGCTGAAAAATAGCCCTAAACACTACTAAAATTATGATGTAAAGTGCTGATTTCCTGGAACTGAGAACTTGAATAGATTTTCATTTTTATAAGTGGGCAGTAGTCGCTGATTTTATAAGCACCTCTTATAGAGTTTTATATTTTGTGATCTTTCTATTTTAGCATACTTTGTAAAGCTATTTAGGAGAATAGTAAAGTTTTCTAAAGTAAGCCTCATTTCTGCTTCTTAGTGATACTGATGCGCGTAAAATTCAGAACTGAGATTTTTTGTCCAACCGTTTTGAATTAGCCTTTTGATATTACTTTAAAATCTTACTTCCTCTGTGCAAGCCAAGTTCTCATATGTCTGTAGAGCACCGAGCCCTCATTTTTATTTTTCTGCTGAAGAAGTATTAATTGAAAAGGAAATTTATTTCACATATTATGGTTTTATATTTAAAAATATACCAGTAAGTAGTGACAATAGAAAAAAAGATTACAACCTTTGCCATAGCATAGACTAGCAACTACTACCTTTGTGATTTCTTCAAAGGATTCTTACTCTAAAACATGAATTTTCATAGTTGTACTTACTTCACTTTCATAATCTACTTTTACATTTGACATCAGTTTAGATATATTTATCCAGATTTCTTCACATCTTTAGACTTCACTGGTGTCCGTTTTTAGTCTTGAATATTATTTCATTTGTTAAGAGTGTTTTACATTACAGTCGAGACTACTTTTCTCACTGATGCCTGTTTTTGTTAATGATGTCATTAATTTTCTAGGTCCAGGTTAAACATTTTAATTATTGTTTACTTATCCCTTCTTCTATATATACCAGTCTTTTTAAACAATTGCTTTCCATCAGTTCTTGTCACTCTCATTATCAGCCTAGTTCATACCCATATTATTTTTATCCCTAGAGTGTAGTAATTGCTTAATTGCTTTCCCTGCTCTGTTCTTTCCATGTCCAATGTAGCATTCATATTGCTATCATATTTGTCTTTTAGTAGTAGCACCTTTTGATTGTCATTTCTCTCCTTAAAATCAGATTTAGTGTTCCACTATTTAGTTTTATACCTGATATAGCTCCATTTTTGTTATAATCTTTAACCTTTATTTTTTATTTCTATGCCATGCATTTGTCTACACTAGAGTATTCTCCTTTCCTTGCCAATGAAAATCCTAGTCATTCTTCAAGGTTCAACTCTGTTGCCAACAGTGGGGACTTTTCTTTGAATTTATACAATACTGTGGTAGTAAAGAGACCTCTCTTTTCTGGGGTGCTTATTGCACTTTATACTTTCTCACTTGGGAGGAGCTTTTAAAACACTTCTTAATAAATAGTGGTTTTTACATAAATTTGTATACTTTGGTTCATTGTCAAGGACCTAGTCAGTCTTCCATGTTTTTATATTCCCAAAGTCTAGCACAGAGTAAGCACTTCCTAAAATTTTTTTGAACTGTGTATTTTACTTCATATCATAGATAAGAAATTTTATAGTTATTTGAACATTGTGTGATAAATCTTAAAGCATTCACATCCAGATACGTAAAGTATTATTCTTGTGCATAGTGGAAACTTGTATGTTTTATAGAACAGATGGAAAGCATTTTTGTGCAGTTTTTAATACAGTGAGATTTAAAATTATTTTCTTTTTGTTTTATGTAGGAAAAATATACTACTATTTAACCTCACATTATAAGGTTGGCAGTCCTGATAACCTCTTTTTTCAGTGTAGTATATTACGGATGTATTCCTATTCCCAAAAGCATGAGAAACTGACATTTCTCATGCAATTAAAAAAAAATAAATATTTACCTCCTTCCCATTGAAAAATCCTAAACCAGTTTTAGTCTTGATTAAGTAATAGAAAAATATTCAGTTGAACCATTAATTAATGTGATGTCTTCTTTATAAGCCTCTGAACTAGGTTCTATAGAGGAATGAAAGGATTAGATCCCTGTTCTATGGTATCATAATATTAAAATTAAGTTTTCCATTTACTTACAAATTTGAAGATAAGTTTAGCATGAAATTGTTTGCTCATAAAATACTAAGTTTATTGACTTAAAAGGGAGTCATTTGAAGCTTCTTTGTAAAAATATGTGACTCCCTTCTTGTCAGTAAAAGGAATACTTTCATGCAGTCTTTTCTTAAGTGCTTAATCTTACAGCCAAATCTTTTTCACTGAATCATAATCTGAAATGTAACGCTTTGAAAAATGTATTCTATTAGGGCTACTTAAAGTGTTTTCCACCCAAAAGGAAAAGTGACTGAAAGCAGTTGATACTGAGGCTCATGATAGAGCGTAGTTTAATTGCTGTATATGAGAAATCTGTTTAAAACTTAGTATTAGTTATAATTGTTTGCTTCACCCCTCCCAACCCCCATCCCAACCCTGTCAAAATTTTGTAAGAATTTATTGGTGCACTTAAAGTAACATTAAGGTCTATGTAAAAGAATGTGCAGTACAACTTAGTTTTGTATGTAGTTTTCCTCTTAGAAAAGCTATAACATTATGCTGATGGCTCTTAAATTCATTCTCAATTCATTTAAAAGAACCTACCAAAACAAAACAAACCCTAACGCCAAACTGGCCTCTCACTTCCTGCAAATAAATGGACAACCCTCACCTTATATGGGGTGTGCTGGTCGGGCACCAGAGACCACATTTGCTGCTGTTTAAAGTGCTTTCTCTATAGTTGGTGCTTTTGTGCTTCCTGGCAAGTTTTGTGGTCTAACTTTGAAGTGTCATAACCAAGACCAACCATCTTTCTAGTGGTAGAACTGCAAGCTGTGACTGAGCATTTTCTAGTTATAGCCAGGTATAAACTTTAGATGGAATAGATGATTTTTTTTTCACTCATCAATTTCTCACCACATTTTACAGACTTAAGAAAAGTTTTTGCACTTAAAAAATTTAGTTGGATGGTTTTTAAAAGATAGCCATTTAGAAATCCTTTCTTGGAGAGCAGGGCGAAAGGTGAGAGGTGCAGATAGAACACACATGTTGTTTGTTGTTGCTGTAACATGTTACTTATTGACACTTTCCAAGTTGCTATTTTCATTGCCTCCCTGACTGCAGAAATTTGCCATTTTCACCCCACTTTTCTTTGGAAATTTTTTGGGTTCCACAAATCATGTTGAAAAGATGATGTATTGGCATTTTGGTATACCATTTTGTAGGTAGAACATCTACAACAATCATTTCGAGTTTATTGGAATTTGATGTATAGTAGCCAGGATTTTACCACAGTGTTTCATTGAGGAGTAGCATTGTCTTTTGAACATTTGCTGAGGATATGTTACATGTGAACCTCTATGATATGTGCTTTTACAAAGAATAACTCATTTAATTCTCACATGTTCCTTTTTCTTTTGCTCCTTACCAAGAAGACAGCAGAGCTGGTCAATTCCAAAAGCCTAAACTTAACTGTTAAATTTTTCTTTTAAAAAGGTTGATAATTAGTAGTAGTTTCTTGATCTACTTTTGTTTTAACTAGCAGGTGTTTAAACACTTTTTATGGTAATTGAAATGCAGTAGTACTATTTTTAAGTTAATTTCAGAATATGCCCTAAAACTTAAGGAACTGTCAAGGTTGTTTTTGACTGACCATTATGTGTACAATATTTGATCAAGTGCTCTGGGAAGTTGCAAAGGAAATTACAAAAACTCTTGTTTTTATGGGACATAGACAGCTTGGTCTTTAAAGATCTTTATTTTCCTTTATTCTAATAACAATTTATAGATATTTTTATGTACTCATTTATAGTAAATGCTTTGTATATATGCATATACATAAACACATTTAATGCAAAAAGGTAAATGTTAGGTAAACGCCTATCAGTGATACTTAAAAAAAAGAGAAAAGTCTCCAGCTTGTCATTACTATTTAGCTTAATCTCCTGCACTTTGCTTTCTTTATAATTCGGACTTGATACATTATATGAACGTTAACTGTATTAACTCCTGAATTAGTAAAGCAAATTTTAATATTATGTTTGATTTCAACTGGAAGACTTATTGCTAGTGTAGGAACATCTAAGTTATAAGAATATTTCTACTCCTTAAGACATTTGCAAAATTTAGCCAAATTATATTTCAGGTGTGAACTTGGAAAAGGAAATGGAAATTTTTTTATTATGGTAACAAGTGAGAGCACCATTTGAAATGTTATTTACTTGTTGCCCACCAAATCATAGATTCCCCCCAATTTACATTTCATGGACCAGCAATTTCTTTTCAGTGACCTGAAACAGAATAGCTTAAGTTTTAGTTTGCTGTGTTGAAAACAACCTGATTGCTTTCTATCTACCATGATCATTTCGTAAAGAAGATATAACAGTAATAGATATAATGTCCAAATAAAGGACACTATATCAATCTAAAGGATATATAATAATCTATAAAGTTTTTTATTTCTATTTTATATTGACAACAGAAGCTTGATGTTCTTTCATGCAAGTAAAGAAAGAACCCCAGGGTGAACAGATAATGTAACTATACTCTTCATGTCCTCTTTTGGGTGTGGGATATGATAAAGTGCAGGTGGTAAAGGCCAGATCATCAAGGTGCAAGTGCCTTGCCCTTTTACCACTCAATAAGGAACAAAAAATAATTTACCTGAAGAGATTTTGGATATCAGCGAAAGGTTTCTGTCAGAAGCATTGGTTTCATATTCACACTTCCATAAGGTTTTGCCTGTTGTAATCTTGCTCTGGAATGTATTTCCCAGCTTATTCATTTGTGACCCAGCTCAGAGCATAAAGTGTTGACTAGCTTTACCACTGGGGCACACAGAGATTTTCTCACTGTTTAAACCTTAAGTTTGGCACTTACACACTACCTGCCATTGTGGGTATACCTTATCTCCATACAAAATAATGAATTCCTTTAAGTATGTACTTGATTCATTTTTCTCTTAATCCCCTTTGGTATCTGCATGTTATTTCAGCAGGTGCATGTAAGAGTTTGTTGATTTTAGAAGAGCAAATTTCATAGAAAACAAAGTCATGACAATTTGTGTGGGTAAATATAACAGTTAACAAGCTTTTGTTAAGAGTTTTTAAATAAAAAAGCTTATGCCAATAACTTCAATAACATAATATAAAGGTAGCAATTAATTTCTTCAAATAAATCATTGGGTGTTCATTTAGAAAAGAATCCCTAGCATACCTGTATTAGACTAATTCATATTTTCTAGTGAATTTTAATCACACTTTTCCCCTAAATTACACTCACTTGGATCCCTGTATGTCAGTATTTCTGGCCTTATTAGTATTTTGGTTGTTTATCTTCTCATTGTTGTACTGACTAACCATAAAAAGACAAATTTGAGCTCTGTGTTACTGCCCTAAGTGTGCTTACTTGACTCAAATGCTCTTTCATGGGTGGAGACATTCCACGTTGTCATGTGTTATAATATAGGCATTTCTGAAATGACTTTAGTAGAAACTGTGGAAAGAAATGAAGGCATTCCTCAGCTGTCACCTTTTTAGTAATCTGTTCAAATGCATTATGTACATAGAGCAAGATAATTCTGCAGAGAGAGCTTCACTTAATAAAAAGTGTTACTTTAATGTGATTATTAACTCATTTGAGCTGAGTTCAAATATTCTCTAACAAAGGATATAAGAAGGTTGTAGGAAATTTGCGTCATTTTTCTTGAATATCTGCAGAGGACAAAGGAAAAAATTTGTGAGATGTGAATTGATTTAGAAGGTGCTGTTAAAACAAACACAAACACAAACACACACACACACCCCTGAAGTTACTTCATAGTAGGTATATATATAGTTTATTAGCCTTCAAAATTATTTGAAATGTTAATAAACTTTTTCAAATATTGATACTTTTACTCTGGGGTTTTCTAAAGCTTTTTGTTCAGAGCTTTTGCTTCAAAGTGTTTTTTTTTTTTTGTTTTTTTTTTAATGAGTTGGGTTTTTTTCCCCCTTTTTAACATAGTTTTTTAAATTTTGACTGTGACAGTTACTTGGATGAATAAAATAGATCATAATAATAAATATCAGTAATTAGATTGTATTTTCTAAATATTTTATTCTTAACTGAACATGGTCATAAAGAGGCCATCTTGGATTTTAGTTAAATGTATTTTACATTGTGGACTTGAATATACTTCAGAATCTCTTTGTGGTTTACCTAGTAGCTTTATGATTAACCTTTTGTATTCTAGATTTTACAAGGAACAAGTCAGTATGAGAGAATGTGACTTGAACACGGTCTTTTTTGTGGATATTTGTGATTTCACAAAAGATTTTGATATTGCTGTTGCCAGATCATGACACTGTATTTCATTAAGAGCTATTGTTTTTCCTCAAAGATGTGTTAATTTGTACAGTCTTTCTTAAAAGATTAGAGTGGATGACATTCAGCTATTTATTTCCTTTCCAAGTACATGGAATGATTTTCATACAAACTTTGCTTCATATTCAATTTTTTTCCTTTCATAATGTGTGTTACTATTTAATTCTTTAACCATTACCTTTTACAGTAAACCATCTCCAAATTTCTGATTTTCACAGCCTTTTTATTTATCTTGTGATACCCATGAAAATGTCCTAAATAAGTTTTCTATACCTTCTTCTCTTCCGTTTCCTTTTTATTTTTAAGCATTTTAATTTTATATTCAAGTTTTTTTTTTTGTATTTCTTATGGAATAAAAATAAAGAATAATTTAAATAAAGCATTATAGAAAATATTTTAAAAATTGAACGCTATCTAAATTTTTAGATCTGGGACTAGTCCCCTTTACAACATTGGTAAACTCCCTTTTAT